TCTTTTAAGAAGGCGATTTTAATATTAAGAGAGACGTGTTATAAAAGATTAATGCTTGGATTTTTTACCTTAAGACAGGATAGACTATTTATATAACTTTTTATTTATTCTTTTAGTAAGTAAAAAGAGATAATAAAAGGCTCAGCCTATCTGCTCTTATTACTTTAATCTTATTAATAAATATAGCTTACTAAGATTTTGATCACGTTATAAAGGTCTATTATTAATATATAGTAAGTTAAGTTAGTTATAAATATCTCTATATAGAGATATATTAAGGGAGTAAATGTTTTAACCTTAAGCGCTTATATAGTAGTAACTTTATAACATCTTATAATAGCCTAAAGATAGCGTCCTTAGATGACTTATAATTTATTTTTAATGCTTTTTCTATGCCTTATTATACCCTTTAAGGCGTATTAGGCGCTATAGCTGTAGAATAGCACTAGTTAAGTAGCTAACGTGTATACCTAGAGCCCTGAGGAGACAAAAGAGCCCTAGGTAGAGTCGGACAATATTTTTAGGGCGTTTAAGTAGTGAACCGCTTGTGCTTTAACTATATAAAGGTAAAGTTTCTATAGTAACGCCAGGTTAAGCTAGACTTTAAGCACTCTGACGTTTAACTTAGGGTTAAGACTTACATTTATAAAGGATAGTAATAGTTTAGCTAGTATATTAAATCTCTTAGGCGTATAAAAGAAGTAGATCAAATTATATTTAGACAGATTAAAAAAGGACTTATAGCAGGTTACCTATAACTTATATATAAGATATATATATTTAAGATTTCTGTAGTTCTGCTTTATACTTAGATTATACATAAGAATATTAACATTATTAATAAAGCTTATAACGCTTATATAAAGCAACACATTCTTATATATATTAAGGAGATTAGTATTATAGAATAGGTAAAGGATTAGAGAGATATAAGAGCTCTGTAAGATGCCTATAAATATTCTATTACTTTCTAGCGTAAATTAGCTAAGACGGACCTTAGTTTCCTTATCTTAAAGGAAGTCCTTAATCTAGTTAGTAATCTTTAAGAGAATTTATCTTTTTTAAAGATTATAAATAAGTCTTTTATAAGAAATATAGTTAAAGGCACTAGAGATGTTAAGGCTAAGTAATAAAGCTACTCTATAGCGTTTAACCCTTTATATAGTCTAGATTTTATTAGTAATTAGTTAAAGGGCTATTTTAATAGATCTTATTTATCTTGCTCTTATTTAAGTGTCTAAGAGAAAAGAATACTTTTTAGTTATAAATTAAATACGTTCTGTAATTACCGCTTCTAACGCCTTATCTAATATATTAAAGAGAGCAATAAAGTAATAAGCTTTTAGATTAGAGTAGTCAGGTTTTCTAGGTTTGCAGATAATAACTATAGTAACATATTTAAAGGCTAAGGGGTAGACTTCTAGATAGTAGTATGTGTTAAATAAGCGAGTAAGTAACTCTAGTCGCTTATTAGTAATTATATAAATAACATAATTAGGAATGCTGTCAGGCTTTAAAGCATTATTCTTTTTAGATTTTAGGACAGCTTATATATCTCTAATTATGTTAGTTTAGGCAGAATATTTATAGATTCTAAGTAAGTAAAGCTCTAGATATTAGAAAGATTTACCTAAGGAGATAAGAGGAAGTAGTAATCACAAAGTAATTTAGCTTTTGCCTTAGGTTTTAAGGCGGTTACTCTGTTCTTATAGAGAGTAGAGAACAAGGCTTATATAAAGATCCTCTAAGATTATTATCTCGCCTACTTGGCAGTCTGCTATAGCTTTTTCTATAATTCGCCTGCTTCTTATATATATTATCTAAACTCTATATATTTAGCTTTAGTTATTACGTTACTCTTTTTATTACAGACTTTAGTAAATGCCTTTTAGGCTTGTTTTATATAGGCGATATTATAGTAATAGCATAATCTTTAGGAGAGCTTAATAATCTTTAAGTACTTTATAGTTATAGATTATATAATAGAGAAACGGAACTTAATTAGTCTCTCGAATTTATATTTTAATAATCTTATTTCTTGTAACCGCTTAAGAATAATATCGTAAAGGTACTAGATATTCATTTATAATATCACTATCTATAAAGAACTAATTAGAATTATAATTCTGTAAAAATAATAAGATGATGAAAATGTGATTATAACAGCTTGTCTTATATAAATCTCTAATCAAGAAAACGTTCAGATTAAAGACTGAAATTAAAGATAATAAAATCGGAATAATAGAATACATTTTGATATAGTCTTACCGAAATATTTTATCTATTAATTATTAAGTATCTATACGGACTATTAAATATTTAAAGACCTAAATTCTAATAATAATAAAAAATAAACAAAATAAATTAAGAAATAAATCTTGAAATAATTTTATTAAGATATTTTGTTTATTAGCTGTATTATCTCTCTAGTTAGACTAGATCTTATATAATCTCTATACGAATCCACTGTCAAAATAGGCTCTAATATTCAAATAATTTTCCATTAGATACGAAGGTATTCTTGGATAATATAGCACGTTACTCATTTCTTATATATGTTATTGGACATGTTCTGGGTCTGCTTTATCACTATTATACCGCTTTTGAATGACGTGACCGGCACTGTAGTATTTTCACTATTAGTCTAGTCATAATATTATATTAGTCGATACGGGATCTCCGAAAGTTGATATGTCACAATCGTTGAGGAGGGGGAGAAGTCAGCTGATACGGGATATCGCTACGATATTACCAGTACTTGAGGTAAGGAAGGCATTAATTAAGGGGCCGATGAAGAAGTTAGATACCAAGGGCAGGATGTCAATCGGAACGCCACCGTATGAACCGCCAGCCACTAAGTCTGGTAGAGCGGACTGTACATCATATCGCCGTCCACGCCCAGGCCAATAGTTGGATCAACCAGTCGAGGAATCGTCGAATGAGAACACGAAGGTGGGAGGGGAAGGGTCGGTTGGAGGCGGGGAGCCGGTCAACGCCTGGCGCAGCAAGCCAGAAGGGGAGGCCAGCTGGAAGGGAAGCGAGAAAGAGGGTGGGGGTGGCAGGAGTAGAAGACAGAAAAGAAGGGACGACCGAGAGGATCAGGGAGTAGAGCGCTCTTTATACCCGGGCCAAGCGGCGAGAGGGCGCCAACCCCGATCGGGCGGAAGAGGCAGCGCACCGGAATCTAGACTACAGTAGAAGAGTTGCAATTTACTACTCCTAGCCTCTCCCCGACCACCATCAACGAGGTCAGAGCGTTGCCACGCACAACTGGCGGTCTAAAAAATCACAGTGGTGGGTGGTCATCACTTATGTCTGGACGAACATGGCAAATGAACGAGTATGATTGATGAGATGATTCCAACGGTTACTCTCCTTGAGTATCTACTTCATTTTGCGCTCTCCCTGTTTCTCCTTCATGACTGTACGTTTGCTCTTCTTGCTTTCAATGCCTCCATCTTCTCTTCCACTGTCTTTGCTCAAGGCGTCTTCATCCAGCTCTGCAGGATAGGCATAGTGCTGGATCGATGCAGCGCAAGTACAGTGTCGTGAGGTTGACAATTTCCCGTTATCCGGACGGATAAAGAGGGCGGCCTGCTCCCCAACTCCTTCGTTGAGGAATCGACGCAGAGGACCTTGGCGTTGCGGATCCTGTGCTTGATCCATACGAAGAATTGGAGCGTGGTAGGGGCAGCTGGGGCCTTGAGTGGAGCCCGCTGCACCGCCGTCGATGTTCTCAGGTCGACGAGCGGAGACTTGTGGATCTCGGGTAGCCTCGTCCTGCCCTGGCTGGCCCCTGTGGAGTCGCAATGGATTAGTCCCTGGTGCTAAACCGTTTTCTAACAAGGCTCCGTTCTAGACAGAAGGAAAGCTATTTACGAACTTTGAGCGCTGGATTTTTTCTTCTTCTGGATACATATCTTCGGAGAAAGACACACAAGCACAGCACGAGATTGGGTTGGTTTGGAGTGGTGAACAGAGTATTCGAAATAAGGGACAAGTTAAATTGAAGAAATCAAGAACAGAAAGGGAGGGGCAGCGGATCAAAGGCGGTATTCAACATATCCTACGGCATCGGGGCACGGGAAAACATGACTACGGGATGAATTCCTGGTAGAGGAACAACCCTCAGATGAAAAATCCTTCAACGATATCCCGGAAGCTCGTTGGGTACTACTTCTGACCGCTTCAATTTCCGAATCCGAACTAGTTGGGGGTCATGTTGAGTGAGCCACCCACGATAAGATCATAGGTCAAAGGTTCTGGAGACTACACTGTCTTTGGGCTACCCGTACGAATCACGCCCCTGTGTACGAGACGGGACTTTTCGCTCCACGTCGTTTCTCGTGTTCGAGGTCCTCTGACATTCTTTCCGTGCCCTCTTGTGGCGACTCTTGTCGATCGCCCGCAACTCACGGAGACTGAGGGTGAAGGGTGAATTGAGGGTGAGCTTAGAATCCGAGGTACTCAAAGGAGAAGAAATGAAGATTCGGATAGTCTGACCAGCATTATACCAACTTTTCCGCTGTTAAACAGCGCCACCTTCTTTTGTGGCAAAGGATTCAACGTACTCATGAATTTCACTCGGTCCGTTACTCAAACTGGCACTCTGCTGAACCCGGTTATTGATTAGGCATAACAACGTGTCGCCTACTCACATCAGGATCCAACAGTATGGGGACCATAATGCCGTAGACGTTGACAATATCATTACCATGCATAAAGTGAACCCGGGACTTTGTATTTTTCTAAATGGCTCTCTACGGTCTTTATTGTCTTGCTTAGTCACCTGGATAATCCGCTGGTTCTATACACCCTCACCCTCACCCCAATCCCTCCCCTTCATCCCCCTAACCTAACCTATATCACTCCACCCGAGACTCCCCACATCAAGTGCCTCAGCTTTCGAATATCCCTCTATTCTACTCCTCCACTCCACCAATCATCCTCTCCTCAGCAAATTCGTCGATGCCACGACACCAGCAGAGAAACGATTTCGCCCAGGTGGCCGCTCCCGAGGTCTTCGAGCAAAGCTGTCATGTTTCACAGAGCATACTACGTACGTACGGAGTACCAGCTAGGTTAGGTAGGTTAGTTGGTGATGACCTAATTGAGCGTAGTGTTTTTCTTTGCAGTTCAGAAAAAGTACACGGGCTGGGAATTGGGGGGGCGTTGTTGGCTTGCTCGCTTTGGGCTTCCAAGACAAGGGGTTTCGTTTCGTTCCCGTATTTTCAATTTCACGTTGGAAGCTGCAGCAGGTTGCTTCAAATGTAGTTGTTGGCCCACTCAAGCTGACGTTTTGTCCCCCTGTTACATACTGGGGAATTGGATTTAGCTTCACCAAAAAAAAATGCGAGAAGAAAAAGCCAAAAGCCCAGAACAGGAAAATGTAGGAAAAACCTCCAGTTTCCCTCCGACGCCAACGATTATCAGAAGCTTGGAATCCCGCGAAGACTCACCACTTCCTTACTCCGCCAACGTATTCCACAAGTCAGCATACATGATATCCCACCAGCGAAACTCGGCGTTGGTGGTGTCGATAAACGACAGATTACCAAAACCCAGTATCGGTCCCAAATCCGAATTTCTTCGTATCTTGCAACTGGAAGGATCTTCAGGGAGAAGCATTCCTCTCAAATCGATCATTAGCTGATCCTGGGATGATATCCAGTCCCAAGCTTGGTGGTCCAGATCTGCCCCAAATTCGGAAAGGTCGCCGTCTGGATCAAGTGATCCGATTAAAGACAATTTAGATTGCGAGGGATTCTGCGCGGAGGGAGGATCTTGGTTGCGCTTCGATATTGTTAACATTATGAAGTGCGTACATGGAATGAATATTTTACCTTTCGCGCTGATTCTTCGAACGAGCTCCACATATCGAACACCCGCTTGGCGTCTTGCTTCCGCTGTAGCAAAGTGCCAAAGAACAATGGCCTTCGGCCGATGATGTAACCAACGTCCGAGGGGGAATTTGAATTGCATGGGTAGATTGCTCCCGCAAACAGCTTGACCAATGAGATATCACACATTCGAACCATGGCCTTGGAATGAATGGAAAAATCGTGAGCTAACATGGAAACGGCCTTAGGTAGAACGAATTCTGGGGGAAACCGAGAAGATTTCGATCTCGTAAACGGATCTGGCAGGGCGATCTGGAATTGAATTTTCACAGAATCCCTTTCTCGCCGGATGCCACGCAAACACCAATCGCACATGAACGCAGAAGGTACACTTTGAGTTAATCCAAACGCGGTCGGTCGCGCGATAGGGTCCCGTTGCACCATTGAATGGCAGAGATCCAACAGGACTAGAATCCCAGCTACGCAGTGAGAACGTAAGGAGATGATCCAATTGAGTATTGGACGAATGTTTGCATAGTATGGCTTGACCTTAGGCTTTCTCGAGGATTTTTTGCTGGTATCCACATTGCGCGTCATGGAGTAGTCTTGAGAGGAGCTCAGATAGCTCCGGAGCCTGTTGACTGACCCTTCATGGGTGACCGCGATGATTTCTAGGAAAACGAGGCCCAACGAAAAGACATCTGCTTTGGTATCATGTCTCTCGTGTGCAGCAACCTCGGGGGCAGCATACATCGGCGTCATGGCACTGATACTCTCGGACATGGATTGGGTATCTGACCACGTTTTCGATATGCCAAAATCTGAGAGGAGGACGGTGGAATCTTTGACAAGAATGTTTTGTGGCTTGATGTCTTTATGTCTGACGCGGATAGAGTGAAGGTAGGCCAGTGCTGAAGCCAAGCATCCGATGGACTTGAGGAGAAAGCGGTTATGCGGCAACGATTCTGGGTATTCGATGAACTCTTTGAGGTTATGCTCCGCCACCGGACTCATGACAACATGACGTGACAAACGGTCGGCGTACTCAACAACAAATCGAATGATGTGTCGATGGTTTAAGCGCTTCATGATTGCGACTTCCGCCAGGAATTGCTGAATGGTCGAGGTACCCTTGCCTGGATTGCGTAACGTCTTCCTTGCAAACGTCCGACCAGTAGGAAAATGCTGGACCTTCTCGACAACGGAGTGAGACCCGCAGCCAAGTATGTCAAGCCTATGGAATAGTGTACCTAACTTGGGACTTCGGCCCTCATGATCACCTTTGTGACCTGATGCATCGCTATGACGAAGGCAACAGGATTCCGTGCCACAACACGACCAGAGAGCTCCAATATCAGGCCTCGACGGCCCGCCGGATTGTCCGAAGCTCAAAATGCTCTGCCCGAAACTAAAGCTAGATCCAGTTCCAGTTCCATTACCCGAGCTCGAACCGAAGCCAGAACCAGAACCAGAACCACCACCTTGATCTTGGTTTGATGCACCAGCACCTGCATCTCCAGATGAACTGTCAGGGTTATTAGGATCGTCATCTGGTGGACCATCCGGGCGTTCGTCAGGCGGAGAGCTTTCTTCTTGGGGATCAACCCAGGGATTCTGCCAGTCGTCCACGGATCGCTTGTCAATCTTACCATCAAAATGCGCACGTACGTGAACGCATCGCTCCTTCCACGAACCAAAAGAAAACCCACAGAACCCGCACCTCTCCTGGAACCTGGGTGGATATTCAACCAGAGACTGATTGACTAGGTGTGATTCGGCATCCGGATGTGCACCCTTCATGTGATATTCCAACCTGTCCTTCCGGTGGTGTATGAAAGGTTCAGATGTGCTTTGTGTACGACATAAACAGCAAATATAGAATTGCTGAGGTTGATTAAGCTCTTCATGTTTTTCCCAGCAACCTGGTCTGCTGAAAGATCGTCCACAAATGGAAGTGCATGGATATGTCTGTCCTGCAATCTTTGGCTGTCTCGAGGAGTGACACCTGTTTGGAGACTTAGCCAGATACTTTTCGATCACGGTTAACCGGCCTCCTTCTTGATATTGAAGAGGCTTGGCCTCAGATGGCCCAAGTTTGGCTTTTTTCGTAGCATGGCTGCCCGGAGAAGTAAGAACCTGCTGTGATACGTCTTCAGAATGATCCGTTTGATGATTCTCGTATATGCGAGATGACTCTCCAAGCGTCCTCTTTGTTGCTGAGGATAGATGAGATCGAATTGATCGTTGCCCTGTCTCAAAAGGCTGAGAGGCAGCTGTGGCGACGAACCCCGTTTGCGGGATAACTGGCACAATCATATTGGTGGTCGGTGGCAAACAACATCCAGCTAGCTGCTCTTGAATGGGAGAAGACATTGCACCTGATGCACCATTCGAGAACCCGTCGTTAGCATTAGAAGCAACTTTGTCCCTAAACCACTGTCGAACAATCTCTTCTCGAAGCCCACAGGCAAGAGCTAGGTATTTTATTTCCTCAGCGACTGGCTCCCGGCAACCCATTTCGACATACCACTGTGACAATGTCGCTTCTCCCCGAAATGCATATCCAGAAGGCTGACCCTCTGGCATAGACACTCCCACATCTCCAGCTGTATCTGAGAAGCGGCCAGCAATGTTGCTCGGACCTGGATCGTTCAGGCGACTTCTCATTGTACCACCGCCGAATGGCTCCCATTCAGGTTCTTGCGTCGCCCCTCCCATTGTCGGCGGAAGCTGATATTGAGGGAAATTGGATTGTGCAGGATCTCCAGTACCGAATCCTGAGTCACGAGTGTTGAAGGCATCGGAATCCTACGGTATCTTTAGTATTGATAAAAGCGACAAAAGCGTATGGGACAGTATCCTCACCAATTCGGGTTGATTATGCTCATGGTACGCATTATACTGAGTGTTTCCGCCGAAATACGCTTGGTTTGGTACAGCGAACGCACCTCCTTGTTGTACATTTGGTGCCCATTGAGGAATGTCAAGTGCCTGGTCCAATATCCTGTCTCGGGATTGTCTGAAGTTATCCATGTCGAGTCTCAGCCCTGCGTAATTGCGATTCACAAAAGGCCCAACAAAAGGCAATCGTGTGAGTGAAGCAGAGATTCCATCATGAAAGACGGAAGGAAGGCAAAGAAGATTTGGTCCGCTGAGATGGTTCGAAGAGACATGGCCCAGTCCAGATAATTCCTGGCCCTGTGCCCCAGCAAGAGCAATAATGAATGGTGGCACAAGCACTACTGAGAGTATGCGACCACGTCGTCAGGGAAAACGTATTCGTGAGGGTGTTGAAGGGTTGAGGGTGACGCTGACGGGCAAGGTAGGGCGGGGGTGGGGGTGAGGGTGAAGGGTGGAGGTGAGGATGGAGATGAGGATGGAAGCGAGGGTGAGGATGAGGGTGAGGATGAGGGTGAGGATGAGGGTGAGGATGAGGGTGAGGATGAGGGTGAGGATGAGGGTGAGGATGAGGGTGAGGATGAGGGTGAGGATGAGGGTGAGGATGAGGGTGAGGATGAGGGTGAGGATGAGGGTGAGGATGAGGGTGAGGATGAGGGTGAGGATGAGGGTGAGGATGAGGGTGAGGATGAGGGTGAATGTCAAGGTGAGGATGAGGGGTGAGGGTAAAGATAAGGCGAGGATGACGATGAGGCTGAGACTGAGAGTAAAGGTAAAGGCGCGGCATTGGCCTACGTTTGATCCTTAGTCCCCCTTGTCAGAGGCAGAAGATGCGGTGCATATATATCGAGGTCCTGAAAAATAGTTCACCTAGAGAACAGCTACAAAGCCAATATCAGTGGAACGCAGCCAGTTCGCAAGTAACAAGCATGCGAAACGCAGTAATAATGGCTGTCTCGACGCAAGAGCCTCTTGAGAAGCATACAAGCTGAACGCTGAAGGACTCTGAGCCCTCCAGGGCGTCAGAACATTAAATATCCTCCTACGTCTCAACCTTCTTAGCAGTTATCCCTGTTGGCAGTAGCAGCTCCTAAGAGGTAAGCGATAGATGCAAGAGCGTGAACCAATGCGGTTGTTTTTGGTTGTTTTGGGATGAGTGGAAGTCCAGCTTGGAAGGCGGTGGCGAGGCTTGCGTTGCGACTGGACTGGTAATGAAATGGGGGATTTATGCACCTGGGTGTGGTCAGAGTGTGCCTCTGAAAATATAACTACCAGTTAGGTACGAAACCTAAAAGCGCTGTCCTTTTGGCGGAATGGTAGATGTATTGTCTCTTTGTCAGGGCAGGGTCGATTAAGGATGCATATGACGTGTAACATTCAAATATTGCTCGATGGGCCTTCCTTGACGGTGTCGGTGCAATGTGGATGGAACCCTCACTCTTTCGAGAGCTGAGAGACTCTGCCTTCAGTTCGCTGGTATCGTCTATCCCCTCCGTACCTGAACAGGGGTGTAGAATGTGCCAATTAGCGCTGTCGATCACTGCGGGGAGGCTCAAAATGTCAATAAACACCCTATTTGGGCCAGTTGAGGCCGTATTATCTAGCAATTGACTCCAATTGAGTGATGATATTGTGCCCAGCACTCTCCTTCGATACAGAGCCAAATCTGGCACTTTGAGCACTTATAATGAGTGTGTGAGCCTCCTAAAATAGCTGTAGAAATGCCATTATTGGCTGAGCGTGTAGTATCTGTTCCAAATGCGCGTTTGGGTGCCCTTTTACATGTACAGCCTGGCGGATGAAGCTTTCCCTATTGACACAGTCCGCCGGACTTCTTTTGTATGGGTTTGTGGTGTCTTTGAAGTACTATAGTTGGTAGAGATTATGAATCCTCCTTCTCCTTGGTTTTATTATTTGAATAGAGTAATTGAGAGGAGAGAGCCTTTATGAACTCTCTATGGCTATTGTGCGTATGCTGTGCGTTTGCTATGTGCGTTGGAGAGCTCCATAGCCATAGCAAATACGCATTAACACGAGCAACGTCAATGAGGAAGTAGATCAAGGGCATCTGCGTACGATAACTTTGCTTGCGATGGCAAGTAAACGCTGCTCGTAACTGATCAGCTTGATCTACCCCCTTCATATGATGGTACCCTTAAATACAGAGTTAAGGATATATTAATTTTTAAAGGAGATTTTAAGGCATTTGCGTATTTATTAGATTTGTGTTAGGATGTGACCTCAGTCCGACACCGGGGGAGACCCTTGGTACGGATCAGAACCAACTTGGTAACTTCCGATCCGAGCAACTGCCGATCTTGGCAAATCCGAGATCGGAGCTGAGAGAGACTCTCAGCTCGTAGATATAAGCTGGCCCTTCAGAAAGCTAAAGGGTCCAGCGTTCTATCTCGTGTTGAACAGAAGGCTGCCACTGCACACTTGCTTACGCACTGCTCCTCGAATGCGACACTCATGCGAACCCTATGCTTAGCTATTCAAATTAGAATCCATCTATCTTATCGAAGTCCCTCTACTGCCCGCCTGTCCTCTGGGTAGCCCTCTGACAATAGCGGAGGTTACAAAACTATCAGGCAGTTTCACACTCTTAATTAACTAGCTATCCTTTAGTATAGAATTTAGTGGTGTTATTACTAGCGCCTTTATTTTATCTCTTACTCTTAATAAAAGAGATAACCCTCTTATTAAGCCGGTTAATAAAATGCTATTAGGGACTAATTCATCCATTATTACTTGTGTAGCATTAATCCTTTTTAGGGCTCTTGTTTCTAGAATCTTTATGTAGTACTATGCATTACTACTATATCCTAGAAAGATGCCTATTTCTTTGCGTTAGCTCGCTTTATTCTCTTATATATTATTATAAATAAAGTATTTGCTACTAAAGATATGCAGAGTAGTTACTTGTGGTTTTCAATTAAATCAAGCTTGATCTAGACTTTGCCAGAATGTACTCTCGTTCTTTTTAGTGCTATTAGGACTATCAGGTAGCCTATTCTTGATATAGGAGGCTACTTAGACTGCGAGATTCTAATAATCCTCCGGAAGTTAAACGTATATAAGTATTAATCGCATTATTAATTATGTAGACTATAGAGCCTGTTTAGTAATATTATTTTGACTTAATATATATAGCGCTATTAATTAGTAGTCTACGCCTGATTCTTTTGCTTATTTAAGAGCACAAGATTTAAGCTCTTTTGTATTATTAATACGTATTGTTTTTAGTCGCTTATTAGTTTATGTTTCTGCTTTTTATTTTTATTAAAATAATTGTTTGGCATATTAAGCTCGGGTTTCCTTAATAAAGATAATATTATATTAAGTATAATTATTAATTGCTTTAAGGAAGTAGTATTCGTCCTAGTATTTTAATATAGGGAAAGGGCTATAGATATCTGCAGAAATCAGATTAAGAGGCTATTTAGCTTACTCTGATAGCTTATAGTTTCGGTTCTTCTTTGCTTTTGCTATATTATATATATCACACTTATACTATAAGTGACTTTGCAGGAATAGCATTAGGGAGATTTAATACTTTATAAAAGTAATAAAGCTTTCTTTTATTAATATATCCTAATTAGTAATGTTATTTATTATATTTCTGAAAAGTCCTAGCTTTAGATATACCTAATTAGTATAATCGTGATATTTATTAAATTAAGATTCTGTTTATCTATTCTCTTAGTTACTTGTTTCTGCTCCTATTATTTTAGTAACAGAGTAAGCTTTTTAAGTCAGCTTAGTAATATTTGTAACTGCCAATAATAGTCTATAGTCTATTATTATTAAGCCTTTTTGCCTAAAATATAACTTGATTATTAGACTGCCTTATTACTATATAAAGCTTATTATTATATATAGCATAGAAATTATCTATAATAATTTAAGCAAAAGAAATAAGATTTATGCTTAAATTATAAGAATAAATAAAATATTATATAATCTTATTTTGCTAAGTATTAGCTTAGTAGAGATAATCCCTTGCCTCTTAATTAATAGAGATTTACTACTTACTCTAACCTTACACCTTTCTAATTTGTTAACCTAAAGGTCTAATTTAAATATATTAATCTAATTAGTTATATAAGTAGTAGCTCTAGTATTATAAATCTAATTAAAAGAGCTTTTATAACCTTAAGAAGCTATATAAAAGATCTTATTTATATTAAGAAAAGCCTTTTTATCTATAATAAGATAAGTAGTATTAACTATAATACTTACTATTTTAGCTATAATATAGGCATCTTTATTATAACTATTATCTTTAGAGGTTATTAATTTAGTATTAATTATATCCTTATATTTAGTATTATTATTAATAACTAAAGCTTTTATTTATTTAGAGAAGTATATAGACTTCTTCTTGTTATAACTCTTTTAAGAGAGAGATTATACAAAATAATAAGAGCTTAATTATCTTAAAGATAGCTTAGAGGACGACTTCTAAATATGCTCTGCTAAGAGCTTGACTATAAAGTCTTTATTAGGATACTATTTTGATTCGGCCTTATAGACTCTTAAAAAAGACCCCCTACGAAATCCTGTATAACAGGAAGCTTTACCTCGCTCATCTGAGAGCTATTAGCTCCAGAATAACAGTATTAATCCCTAAAGAGATTAGAAAGCATAAGTTATAAAGCGTTACAATTATAAGGCAGCTTGTAAGCTATAAAGGAACAAATTAATACTGAATTTGGGACCCTCAGATAGATAGAATTATCTAGGCAAGAGATGTCAAAATCAACGAATCTAATACTAGATATATTAAGGAATCACACAGGGCATCTGAACAGCCTGAGGGAACTCCTATAGCATCTACAGATGCTCAAACAACTCCTATAGCATCTACAGAAGCCGAAATAGCTCAGGATACATATAGAAACAGAGACAATAAAATAAACGCTAGTAGATTAAGCTCTGAAACTACAGTTTCGAGACCTGAACCTGACGAGGATCCTTAGCGTGCCTCTTATATAGATTAAAACCTTACATCTACAGATATCAATGACCTTATAGATAACTATGCTAGCGTTAAGGGCGAATCAAGATCCTATAAAGTGAAGGATGTAGAGTTTTGACCTGTAAATCCAAGGATAGATCAAGCAGGGATCTCCGAGCTGATATATCGTCTAAGAAGGCATTTAAGACCTTTACAGAAGCTCTGTAAGAATCAAATACCCCTTAACGAAATCCCCTTTACACACGTTCTATCAGCGTTGACACTGGCCTTGTCAGACGCTCCTAGGTCGTATGAGGAGGCAAAACAATATGCTGATCACCAAGAATAAATGGCTGCATCAGATAAGGAGCTACGCGCTCTAGAAAGCAATGAAACATGGCAAGTTCTACCCAAAACTAAGGTACCTACTAACTAGAAGATACTCTGTAGCAGATACGTCTACGTACGAAAGCGTGATGGACGATACAAAGCCTGATGGGTAGTCAAAGGCTTTGAACAAGTTAAAGGAATTGACTACCAAGAGACCTTCGCCGCTGTGGCACGAGCAGAGTTATATCAAACGCTTATAGCACTTGCTGTGCTCAAGGGCTTCAGTATAGAAAGCCTTAACGTTAATACAGCATTTCTATATAGCAAAATAGATTATGAAATCTACATTAAACTGCCTCTGAATATTACATTTCCAAGAGGGTCAAAAGAGCCCTTCTGCAGCCTCCTCAAGAAGAGCCTTTATAGCCTCAAG